CGATCGCTCCTGGATGCCCTCTGCGCCAGCGCCTGGGCAGGGACGCCTCGCTCCCCGGGGTCGGCACGGCGCAGCAGCAGAGCCGTGGGTTTCAAACGCATTCGATTTAAAAATAAAAAAAAATTCAGAAGTCCAAGTCTTCTGCTGTGCAGAGGAAGAACCTGCAGCGGCTGTCTATAGTCTGCTCAGTGCTCATTGAATCTAAGAGGCAGAACTTGGGTGATGAGGAGAAACAAAGAGGGAATGTGGAGAGGAAGGAGAACCCTGGCGCACTGCTCGCTCGTGCCTCGCCGAAGACGCCGCGACAGTGGAGCACGTTCATCTGACGTTCTCACTTGCATAAGCAGAAGAGGGGAAATGCCCACTCCCTGTGGCAAGGGAGACTAGAAAGCCAGCCTCCGAGAAGCTCAAAACCATCCTGGCTTTTTATTGCAGCCTCTCCCCCATATTCTTGTAAGGTTTCACTGAAGAGTTGAATCATTAAAGATGGCATTAAATCCATACACACAGGTAACGCCTCCTGCCCTTTGAGTGGGGACCTAAGGAACACCCTAGGAACGCAATATTTCCTCTTCAAGCAGCAAAATAATTGCTGTGCGTTCAAAACATTCATATTACAGTTCAATTGAGCAAATGATATCGAGTCACTGCAAGTCATCTCTGTGGCAGCGGAATATTTCGCAGGAATAGCTGGGTCTCCAGCAATCGGCGTTCACGCAGATCGCAGGGACAACCCGCGGGACGACGGCGAAGCGTAACGCTTCCCTGCGCGGCCGGAGCGAACAGGCGGCTCTGCCGACACCGCAGCCGGGTGGGCTGCGCATCCAGCTCTTCGAGGGAAGCCCTGCCAGCCTGCGAAAGAGCCACTCAAACATTCAACGCGTGCTTAGGTGAACAGCCAATCCATGCTAAAAACGGCCAAGAGAACTACCCGGGTACAGGAGCTTACGCCGGCAGTGCTGCGTCACCCCGAAACACGCGCTCTGCCCAACGGCTGCGAGAAGGTTTGGGAGCTCTTCCGTCCCAGTGACTCGGTCGGTGCGCGGTACCGGGAAGGGGTC